AGCTTTCATATGCATCTCTTGGCTTCATTCTATCTATTATAGTTTTCGAGTAAATCAATGAAATGTAAAAACACTGCTTTTTCGAACTTTCTAATTTCAATTTTTCAACTTTGAACGCGTATTACAGCAATATGGATAAGAGCACAAGATTGTATCTATACTTTAGCAGATATTATGAAAATTGCTCACTGCTACTAATATTCGCGCGCCTCACAGTTTGGAAAACGCTGACTTAGATTAAGGGTTTCCCAAACTTTTCCTGCTTCGTAAATCCTGAAATTTTCACTGATATTCCACAGAACGTAGTTTGAGAAACCCTGACTTAACTTTATAATCGTATCGGTTAAATGAATGGTGAATAATTTAGTGTCGAAGAAAAATATTTTACCTCCGTTTCTCATAATTTAAAAATAAGTGGTTAACTCTTTGAGGGACGGCAGTACACGCAATGTATCACCTTTTGAACATGTCGAGGAAAGAGGAATTGTCCATTAATTTGATTGGTATAACGAAGGATGAATCTGTAGTTGTCTAGAAATTTAGGAATTTCTGGCCGCTCAAAGAGTTAATCCATAAACATATTACGTACCTTTAAGATATTTCTTGTTTTTAAAACCTGTGAAATTGTTGGGATCAATTTTAAAAATGAATTCGTTTCAGATATATATATAAGTTTTTTTACCTTTAATTGAGGATGGACGTAACTCGCAAGTTCAGGAGTCCGTTCGGAACGCGGCCATGGATGAGGGATACCGGAGCGGCTGCAGCGGCTCCAGGGAACAGCGGGATTAAAGGAATCGTGGCCGGTGAGCGCTTCTCTCTAAGGGGGATGGATGGGAAAAAAAAAAGGATTACATTTAACATTTCTTTTTGAATTGCGTAGGAGGAATAACTGGAGGAATAGAGATCTGCATAACGTTCCCCACCGAATACGTGAAGACGCAGCTGCAGCTGGACGAGAAGGGCGGACAGAAACGGTACAACGGCATCGCGGATTGCGTGAAGAAGACGGTGAAGAGGAACGGTTTCTTCGGATTGTACAGAGGTTTGAGCGTCTTGGTCTACGGCTCGATCCCGAAGAGCGCTGTCAGGTAGTAAATCGATTCGATTCCGTGGAGTTTAAGGTTTAAGGTTTTTTGTCCTAAGGTTCGGTACTTTCGAGGCGTTAAAGTCGCGGTTGGTGGGTGATTCCGGCGATTTCGGTGCTGGGAAGAAGTTGCTGTGCGGTCTGGGCGCCGGCGTCTGCGAGGCGATATTCGCCGTGACCCCCATGGAGACCGTCAAGGTGAAGTTCATCAATGACCAGAGGTTGGCGAAGCCTCAGTTCAAGGGATTCTTCCACGGGGTTGTGACGATCGTGAAGGCGGAGGGATTCGGCGGAGTGTACAAGGGTCTGTTCCCCACCATCCTGAAGCAGGGCTCCAATCAAGCGATCCGGTTCTACACGATGGAAACGATGAAGGACCTGTACAAGGGCGGCGACAAGAACAAACCTGTGCCGAAGCCGCTGGTCGGACTGTTCGGTGCAATCGCCGGTAACTATACAATAATATAATAACAACCGCAGTAAAATCGTCGACAATTTTACAATTGAAAAGTTGATCAACGATCAAAACAATAAATATTAATAGTGTTAAATGTGTGTTTGTGTTTTTAAGGGGCTGCATCGGTGTTTGGCAACACCCCGCTGGACGTGGTGAAGACGCGCATGCAGGGTCTGGAGGCGAGCAAGTACAAGAGCACCGTGGACTGCGCCGTCCAGATCTGGAAGCACGAAGGTCCGTTCGCCTTCTACAAGGGCACGGTTCCCCGTCTGGGCAGGGTCTGCCTGGACGTGGCCATCACCTTCATGATCTACGACAGCTTCATGGAGCTGTTCAACAAAGTTTGGCCTTAAAAATAAACAACAACAGCAACAACAACAAGAACAAGCAAACCCCACCCAGCACAGAGAGAGCAGACCGACCATCCACTACGCGACACTCGCCAAGCTACAAGTAAAAAGTGCGTAGACAAAGCTTCGCGTAGCGGATGGTAGTCGGAAAGCGCAAAAATAATCCAGGTACATATATATATATAAAATCGCAACATTCTGTTATAATATTACAATTTATATTATATTTTTTTTCAATTATTTTCTTTTACATGCCAAAACTATTAACGATCACCGTTGTGCGTTGTTCAGTTTTGTTTTTTTCGGGGTAAACATATGTTATTGCAAAGTATTACCAATATTTAATGAAAGGAAAAAGACGCATTTAATAAGATAATGAACGCCTCGAGTGTATAAAGAGAGAGGCGCAACTGCCAAGAGAAATATTAAACTCAAAGTATAAAAGTATTTTTGCCTACTTCATCATATTACCGTGTATATTCTGTGTAAATATATATAAATATAGAATTTAAGCAATTCATAATTATGTTATGTAAGAAAGAAAGTAAAAAGTTTGTTATTGTTTGTTTGTTTTTTTGTACGGACACAAATATACACCGAAATCGAACTGGAATTATTTCTTGACCCCTTTTTTTTACAAAAATCATCGATTTGCACACACAAATTACATGCGAAATAGATATTTGAAATTATATATAAAAAGTGGATGAGAGAGGAATGTGTGGATGAGAGAGACTATTGAATGAAACATTCGGGATTAAAGTCGGTGTCCTACAAATAATTTTTATTCTCAATTTTACTTCAAGTTTACTTAAAAAATAATAATATAATTGATAATAGTGAGATTATGAAAGTTACGTAGTTTTACATACGACATTTACATATAGTTTTGTTTTTTTTTTGTGTAAGTTACTGTTGTTTCTTCAAATTTAAAATCAATAATATTTATATAACAAAAAAAAAATGAACAAAAATCCTATCCTAAAGAAACTTGACCTAAATACATCCAGTCATCTATGATCTAATTATATAACAATCAGTGTTATGTTTATAAATATATTTATATAAAAAAAAATTAATAATAATAATAAGAAAAGTGAGAAAGATATAATATTATCTTTCTATTTGTTTTAAATTTGTTTGTTTTTTCAGTGGAAATCAAAATTTAGTCTCTTTTCGTTCATCACATAATAAGTAACAATATGTGGCTATTATTCTTGATTCTATTTTTTTTACATCATATGCCTAGACTGTTTGTATTTGCTGCAAAAGACAATATATTCTTTATAAACATCGGGTGTCGATTACGATTTCTCGCAAAGTCGAGAACGCACACACACATCATATTTTACACACATCAATTTAAAGAAAGGAAACAAAGAACGGCGTTTCTCGACCGGTTTTTTTCTCTTTTTTTGGAGACGGTTTGAGAATCGCCAGCAAATGTAAAAACTCTATGGAATTTATAGAAACTAAATGAAGAAAATAATAGCATGCATGGGTGAAGGAAAAATCTATCAGTGAAATTACAAAAGAAAACGTTAGATTTTCGTTGAGCCTTTAATACTCTAATTTTGAAAAATAAGGTCTCAAAGTAAAATCGAACTTTCTTTTGCAATAAATCTGTGCAAGCTCAACGTGATTTCTCAAAAAAATTGGAAACTTGTTAAGAAAGCCAAGATTTTTAATGATTTCGTGTGAAGAGTTGCACAGAATCAAGCTTAAGCTAAGTCTACTTCTAATCCGCAAAATAAATAATAGTTACACTTGATTTCGAGGATGTTAGGAACGGGTTTGTAAAATTATATAATTAAAACTAGAGTCTATGACGAAATGGCAGAGAAGGAATCTCTCGATCTCCATCATGTATTCGTCTCTCGCACATTCGCTTTCTCTCTATTTGTAAAATATATATATATATATTTATACGCATTTCGTCGTAAGTGATTAATGCGTTTTCTTAAATACTTCTAGGATCTACTGGGCGAGCGCAAGAGAAAAAAAGAGAAGGAGAACTGTTTGCGGCTCTTTGAAATGAATTTGAAATATTATTTGGGTTTTGTATTTACCAGCCAGGTGTTGTGTTGGCCAAACGGCGGATGCGCCGGGTGTTGCGGTCTTGATCGCGGATCTTTTTCTCCATTTCGGCGTCGGTGAGCGTCTCCAAGAACGGAGCCCACTGATCGGATTCGCACGGCGGACGGAAAGGCACCTAAAATTTTAACAATAAAATCGATGTATTTACGCACTGATCGATTCGTTTACCTCGACTATCGGTAACGGGGCTTCGCTGAAAGCGTACGTCCTTTGGTGCCAGGACAACTGTCCTCGGATGGAATACGCGATGGCCGTCACGAATTCTCCTCCCAATCCCAGCTCGGCGCACAGCTTGTTCGCGAAATGCTCTGGATTGTTCTCCTTTTGCGACATGTCCCATTCCACCTAGGCGGGAAATCGGTTTAAAGACGACAGGCCAAGTGTTGGTTGTAGACGAAAACAAACCTGATCGACCAACGAAGTGTTTCCAACGTGAATGTTCAGCTTGATGATGACGCGCTGATCGCAGTTCTCCTCGATGATGCCGGGTGGTTCGTTGGGGAAAACCTCGAGCTGCTGACGGATGGCCTGCGCTATAGCCGGCACAAAGGTCAGCGGGTTCAAATCCAGATCATCGCAGAGAACTTCAGCGAACTGCTCCGGACTGATCAAACTCTCTACACTCATAGAACGCAACAATTAAACCTCCTCGCACCGGCGAAAAACACTCACCGTTCTTGTTCCAAGTGAACGTGTCCCTGAGCTTCTGACCCTCGATTTCCATGTCGAGACGGATCGGTACCAAAAGCTCCGACTGGCCGGCGTTCTCCGTGTGCACTTGCGGTTCGCTGTCGTCGAAGCACAACGGAAACGTCCTCACCTTTAATAAATAACAAGATTTTTCAAATCGCTCGCAACGCTCATGATCACATTTACCTTTTTGGAGGCGACACGGTTTCTGTTGATCGTCGTGGCTTGTGGCACGGCGTCCAGATGACTCGAGTTCGGAAGCGACGGCACCCATTGCATGCTCTTCTTCGTCTTGCCCTCTCTGGGAAGCAGAGGTTCCGTTGTGTGCACCGACACCGCTTTGTATCTGAATAGTGGAAAGTGGAAATCGAAAATTATTATAACATTCACTCAGAGTTCGTGCCCTTTAACTTTCCAAGAGAAACACAACCACAGCAAATTATTTGTCCAAATACAAATCCAAATACATTATCCTCATACCAAGAACTACAACTAACAAGTGCATACAACAAAAATACAACTGTTAATACTACTAAACAATGACTCCAGTACTGGACATGCTTCAAACTACAAATTCATGAGGATAGTTTAGGGTAATCAATCTACTTAGAATCCAGAAAAACTAGGATTAATTTATCTTGTAAATTATCAATATCAAGCAAGAAAGCAACAAAGTACATTGAATTATATTATCTTGACGTAAAGGGATTATATAAGTACAGATATACTACTTTCAATAATACTCATAAGGATTTTTAAAAAGATTAAAGAAATTATTTGACTGAATTTGCATTGCATGCATCAGTAATTTTCATGTAACTGTTATAATTAGCAACAAAAATGAAAAATGCAAGTCTTAGGAGACTTCTAGAAAAGTGCTTGAAGGAATGGTGATACTGATACGATACTGAAGAAACATTTGTAAAAGAAAGCTTCAACCCTTCAACTTCTACACCAAAAGAGACGCAGAAGTGGAACAAACTGTGAATAATATATATATATGTGTGTTGACTATTTTGGGGGGTTGTGAACTAGGTAATTTACAAACATACTTATCATCATTGCCCTCAATAATGTCCTCAACTTCAGATGTTCTGAGCAGTGAAACGGAACTTGCCAAGACATGTTGACTGAGACCGCTGTCGATGAGGCGTTTTCGTTCTTCAACTGTTATCGTCCTACGGTACATCCCGGGGTACCTCTTGTACAGGGAGCCCCTGAAGAGGCGCAAGTAATTGCCCACCTACAAAATTCCAATCGAACAATAATTACACCAAGCTTTATCTTTTACTTATATTTTCGTATCAATTCATTTACCTCGGATCCAACGCAATAATATTCACCATTCTCTTCCAATTGAAAGCTGATCGGCTTATCCCCAAACGTTCTGATCGCCATCGCGTAAACAAACTACGATCGTCAACTGTTTTAACCTAACAACCGGATCGAAACAAGTTTGTTGTTTATGATTCAGTAATTTCATTACCAACCTTTTAAAAATTATTACAAAATATTGTTAATATGTTCAAAATGTATGCAAAATTATCTAACATTAACTAATATTAAGCGCATTTGTTGTATGATCATAAAGAAAATTGGACAAAAAAAATGCAAATATATTTTTTGCAGTTGGTGAACTTGTAGTAAAAAGAACAAAACACATGCGATGTTGCCAGTTTTAGCTTTGAATTGGTGAATTATTTCATAATTGATCGAAATTAGTGCGCTTCTTGAGAAATAATTGTAATAGTTTTTTTTTTAAATGTAATTTTTGATTCTATATTATTGTGGATCGTGTGTTGGGATGCGCTCGTAGAATTTTGCGAATGTGGCAACGTCGCTATCGTAAAGAGCTGTCAAAGAAGAACAACAAAAAGGGAAAGGGTAGGAAAGGGAACGATCCTTAAAAAGGGTGAATGTGTCAGTGTCAGTGTCAGTGGCAATCAGTGACTGGTGTCAGCAGTTCCTCAGTGCCTAGATTTGTCATTAGGTATAAGTTTTGAATTGTCGGTGCCAATTCTAAATTCTACCTTTCTGCAAACTCTATCTCAGTGCTTCCCGACAATTAAGAGGTAAATATTTCTATTTTGTTTTGAACAGTTTGCTTTTTCCCTGCTTTTCGCATAATAATCATTTGTAGGAACTACATAGTTACATAGTAGATTTGTTTATCATCCATAATCATTAACGCTTGTATCATAAGATCATTAAAAAGTTACAGGAAAAGTGTATGCTTATACGCACACTCCATGGCCCAAAATACGCTTGTTATGCAGAAGAGGTACTGCCATTTGTGTAACGGCTATTATAATAATGATGTTTTCAACTATCACATTAGTACAAAGTATCACAAGTATGCGACCAATGAGGAGGATTTGGAATATAAGGGTGGATCAAAGTTGATACCTATCATAGGTACGAAAATGTACTGCACCGAATGCTCCACCTGCACTGACAACAAGGAAAACCATGAGTGTGAAGAACCGAGTGTGCAGAATTATGAATCTGAGATAGCACTAGACAGTTTGGCTGGGAAATATGAAGTTACTTATCGACCTGTCTGCAGAGCATTTAAATATCATGGGATAAGGTATTGTGTTTGTTTACTGTGCTCCACCATTGATGTTGGGTTGGCGGAGAATCACATGCACTCGGATATGCACAAAGAGAGTACATTCGATTATGACAGGCAGGTGAGATTGGATCAGTTCTACTTGTTCTTTATAAACACTCCTAGAGAGGTGGTGGAGAGATTCATGCCACTGTCGTTAGATAGAATCCAGTGCCTGAAGTGCATGCAAATAATACCTTATAGAACGGTACAAATGCATAACAATTGCTCCTACAATAGTTTCATAGTAACAGACAGTTGCTTGAGATTGCCAATCAATAAGCTATACGACTGGAACAATAAATTAGACTACGATGAACGGATATTGAACATGTTCTATCCCAAGAAGCTAATGAAAATCGTTTACAAATTTGACAAAACGCCAATATATGTGGCGCAAAAGGCCTCCGGATCCCTGAAATGTTTATTTTGTTGTGTCGAAGGTAAAGTTGGAAAGTCTATTACACATCTTTAGTAGCAGCAGCAGCATCAATCAATCAATCAATACACACGTAAAAAGTACATTTGAACCTGAAGTAATTAAGGAAGATGTGACTGGATCATCGATATCTTATGTGTGTAATTGTGTAACGTTGTCTATGCAATATTTCGCCGATGACTGCAAAATTTTATTCGAAATCCGTAAACGTTCAACTCTATATTTTATTTCCGCAGGTATTATTGGAATTGAGCAAGTCGTGGAGCATTTCACGTCGTTTCGCCATTTAATGAATAGCAATAACGTTCTGTACAATCAGGCTTTATCCACATACCATCAGTATTTTGCGCTTAGCGATGTCGGTGATCAGATGAGACATCATCTGTTCGAACCGCTATCATCGAACGGTGTCACCTGCTTACTCTGCCAAAATCCCGTCGTCTTTAAGGAGATCAAAAACCACAATTGTCCCCAGGAAGCAGCAGAATCCAGTTCGTATCGTTTCCTTAAAATCTTATTTTTATCGTTTCATTTTGGTTTCATTTTGGTTTTGTTTGTTTGTTTCTCTTTCCTTTTGTCATCTACAATTAGCTTCGAGTGAGGATAGCCAGATTGCGGACGTCGCAGAACTATTGAAGATGAATGCTATGATCATGGATTACTCGCCGAAGCAGAAGCTGTGCTTGTGTTGCGAGACTATACTGAACAACGAAAAGAATGTCGTCGAACATGTGATGTCGAAGAAGCACAAGAATGCAGCGGTATGCAAGAAGGATATAGTTCAAGTGTACCTGGATTTCTGGGGAAGCGAGAAACGGAAGGAGCAGGTTAATATCATCGAGAACGTGGCTTTTGGATAACGATAATAATACAACAAGTACCGTTTTTTTTTGCAGAAATATTATCTTCCTTACGACCTGAATAAGTTCAGATGCATGGAATGCAGACACTCGGTGAATCTGTCCGCGATCGTTCCTCACGCTGCCGAATGTATCCCAACGTTGAGCGAAGCAGAGCCTACGATGTACAAGGATTCGGTGAAGAACGCCCTGTATCCGACGTCGAAGACGTTCAAGGAGTGCGTCTTCCAGAAACGCAATAAACTATTATTTTGCCTGTACTGCTGCGCTACGCTGCAAGGCTCCACGGAGGACCACTGCAAGGTTCCTTCTCATCTGAAGAACATAAACAATTCGAACAAAATAAAAATGGTCGAAGCGTACCACAATTATTGGAAGCACAAGAGCGAGGAGATGCAGCTTTCGCAGATATGCTTCAGCCCGAGCAACTCGAGGACCGTCGAGTGCAACTGGTGCGAGCGTTTCTTCACGTTCCAAGAGTTGAAGGGTCACAATTGCTTGAACCTGAAGATCGGCGATTTCAAACTGCTCACCGGTCAATTGTCCTATTGCAGCGAAGTTATGGAGACGGTCTATCCGCATGACAACTTCGAGGTGCAAGTATCCAACAAGAAATACCTGTGTCTTTTTTGCAACGTGGACGCAACCGGAACGCTAGACTGGCATCTTGCTGGGAAATCTCATAGGAAAAAGATTCGCAATAAGGAACGCGTCCAAGCGGTGGTGCGATACCATCGATTCTGGATGTCCAAAGGGAACGAGCTTCAAATGAATCAATTGAAGTACAGACCTTTCAATCATCAGTGCATGGAATGCGTGCAATGTAATTTGGTGCATGGTTGGGACGTCCTGATGAAACACAAATGCGATGTACCGTCACAAACGGTGAAGAAGATGCGTTACGGTGCAGATATCATGAGAACCGTTTATCATCACATGACGATGTGCGACGCTATGGATACTTTCGTCGTGCAACGAATCGACGCCAATCTGTACAACTGTCTCCACTGCCGCATGACTTTTTCGGAGAGCGTCAGCGAACACTGCAAATCGGTGAGGCACAAAGCCAAAGCCAAACTGAACCTCTGGATGAGTGCCCTTAACGCGTACCATTCCTACTGGCTGAACAGCAAAACGCCGATGGATCAGATCTATTACACAACGCACAGTCACGTCAACATGCGGTGCTTGCGTTGCGAGGATGTTGTCTTCTTCAACGACGTGCTGCCTCATGAATGTTCGCCGACGCAGAGCGCGAAGACTCAAAACAAGACCGTTTACTGTTACGAGGTTCTGTTCAGCATCTATTCGCACCTGGAGTCTGAACGTATGGAGGATCTGTTCATACAGAAGATCGACGACAAAACGTACCACTGCTTGCACTGTGCCATCCAAATTCGACGCAATTGGGATAAGCACGCGAAGACGCACGCACATTCCGGCAGAATCGACTCGAACGATGAGTTCATCTCGAAGTCGGTGTCGCGCTACCACAAGTTCTGGGTGTCTGGGAGCAGTCCGGCTGTGCAGCTGATGCAGACCAAGTATTTCCCGTACGATATGGAGAATGGAACGTGCGTCTGGTGCGATTCTATCCTGCCGTACAACGAAACGATGATCAAGCACAAATGCGTAGAAAGCAGCGACAGCAGCGGAAGCAATAGCAGCGATGACGAAGACGAAGAAGATGCGGAGGTATTGACAATGTTGGAGCGAAAGGATGAAGGTGCGTATTTTTATTATCGGTCGCGATTAAATCACATTTCAACATTCTCTTTTTTCTTCAGTTCTACTTCAGAGATACAAAGGACCGAGCAAGTTGCACAATCTAGTCAGATCGGTATTGTATCCGCATAATTTGTGCCAATTGGTATCGAATTCACATCTGAAACTGCACTTTCCCATCTTCCATAATCGCATAATGAAGATACGCTGCTTGCTGTGCACGAAGGATATTGATAAAACCGAGAAAGACGTGATCAATCACCTGAAGAATTATCACGGACAGTTCACTAGTCGTCTCTTCACTCAGGCGATACACGTGATCGCCTATCATAAACATTTTGAAAAACAGCCCATCGACAAACATTATCTGCAAGTGAGTTGTTGTTACCTTGAGCGAGGACTTTGAGGAAAACGCCACTATGATTATTACTGCATGATTCATTCGCTTTTTATCGCAAATTTCATTGCTATCTCTCTTTTTATTTATTTAGTTATTTACACGCTAATTTTGTTCTCGTTTGATTTAGTCGTATTTTATGCCAGCTGGAACGAGGACCGCGAACTGTCTCAGATTGCACAACGTCGAATACAGCAAGTTGGAACATCACTACGTCAAGTGTGCGAAACGCAGTGATAAGACTCTGGAGGGCAGCATGAAGAAGTTCACCAATCCGAACCTGATACAGGGAGCGGGTAAAGTTTTCCACGAGATGGTCATCGTTCCCAAAGGTCGATTCCCCGTGCGACTGCAATACCAATCCGAGTTCTTTCGCATGGAAGCGGAGCCGTCGAAGAAGGTGTACTGCAAGTACTGCGAAATCGATCTAGAGAGCTTCTCGGATGCGCTCCTCCATCTCGCCGAAGAAAAACACTCGGTGCTGCTGAAGTCCAAGGAGAAGTACATGTACGTGTGCGACATGTGCTGCTATAAGACGCACAGGGAGATCGACTGGCAGAAGCATTTCTCTTCTACCGGACATCAAAACATGTAAGTATTACGTTCAGATAATACATTTAAATTAATTTGCTTAATAATTGTGCTTAATTTGCGTAGGTACAAGAGCATTGGTGAGATAAGACAGACGACGTTGCACGAGTTCGAATGCAAAATATGCGCTTACGTGCTGTACGGTGACGAGTTGTCCGTGTTCGACCACAAAGAGGGACTCGCCGCTCTGAAGCCGAACAAGAAGATAAAGAATCGCGAGCAGAGCGATAAGAAGTTGCGCAAGATATTCGGGAACGAAGAATCGACGGAGCTGTTTCTGGAGGAGAGACAGGTGGAGTGCGAACTCGTCGGCTCTCCGGCTGTGCAGCTCTGTTTGCAAGATATCAAGGAGCAGCTGAAGACGAAGTATCCCCACTGCAAGGTCTTCCCGTTCGGATCTAGGGCCATCGAGATTGGAGACTCGAACAGCGATCTCGACGTGTTCGCCGATCTGAAAAGCAATTACTTCGGTGGCGCTCAAGTCAACAGCAGAGCATAATCCGGGAGATGACGAAGCTGCTGAAGTTGCGCTCCGACTTGTTCCAGTTGGTCTTCAGTATACCGACCGCTCGCACCCCGATCATCCGGTTCATGCACGCCAGCACCGAAATAAACTGCGATCTGAGTTTCATGAACGGCCTCAGCGTCGAGAACACGAAATTCGTCAAGTTCTGTTACGATCTGCAGCCGATCAGCCGCGACGCCGTCCTCCTGCTGCGCTGTTTCAGCAACATCGAATCACTGTACGGCGAGTACAAGATCTGCTCGTACGCCTTCAGCATGATGTTGCTCTTCTACATGCAAACGAAAGGATGGCTGCTGTCCGTCCAGCGTCTTCGCTCGCTGACGAACACCGATGTTCAAGTAATCGATGGTTGGCCGATCATCGATTACAACGAATCCGTCGAAACGTTGAAGCAGAACGTCGAAGAATACACGGGCGGCGGCGTGTACCAACTGGTGAAGGGATTCTTCGAATTCTACAACGAGTTCAATTTCGAGAAGGACGTCGTGTGTCCGTTCATGGGAGTCATCGTGAAACGCAAGCAATTCAACGGTGACGGCGTAAATCTTCCGTCGGAGATGTCCGTTTACCGGAAGAACTTGAAGGAGGGTGAGTCGTTCCGCGTCGACGACTGCTACATGTGCGTTCAAGATCCGTTCGATCTTTCGCATAATCTGACCAAAGCCGTGAGCAGCGATGCCGTTGCCAGTTTCAAGTTCAAATGCCGTAACGTCCTGCAGATGTTCAGTCATTGATGAACGAAGACGAAACGCTTAATCGAAGTGTGCGTGGGACCACAGAGTGTTTTTTTTGACATGTCTGCTTGTCGTGTTGTTAATTTTTTTTTTTCATACCTGTGTTTATACAAATGTTAAATCATGTGCTCTTTGTCAATTATAACACGTAGATATATTTTTTTTATTAAGAATGTAAATTGATTTTATCTTATACGACGCAATACAAATAAATGATATATATATATATATTTTATAAAGCAAAATCTATATAGTTTTTTCTACCCAATCAATTTTACATAAAACAAATGATGATGTCAAACTTTGACAATTTTGATCATAAAATGAATAAGATGGCGTTGAATGATGTTATTATTTTATTAGGTGTATTCAATGAAGTTTTCTTTGTGAATTCCGAACATGATGGCTCCGAATAACGGAAAAACAAGTAGAATCACGGAAGCGGCGATGACGGAGACGGCAATTCCAGCCAAGAGCATCTCTCTCGTCGGTATCTTGCAGTAAAACTGGACGACGGCGTTCGTCGGCGCGGAGGCGGGCAGGCAGAAGGCGTGCGAACTGGCTATGGTGACGGGGATCATCAGGTACAGTGGATGCCATCTGGCCATCTGCGCGATGTCCGCCGCGATCGGCAGCAGCAGATCGATCACCGCAATGTGTCCGCTGAGCTCGGTGAGGACGCTGCCCAAGAAGCAGACCGCAGCGAGCACCGCGAACTTGGGCAGCAAGTGGTAATTATCGCGCAACTTGTGAACCAGGCCCTGCCCGATGCCCGCCGACCTCGAACCTTCCACGATTGCGTTCCCACCGCCTACAAGCACGAGCAATCCCCAGGGCATCCTCTTCTGCACCACCGCCCACGTCAGCAATCCGTCCCAATCCTCGCGCTCGTAATCCTCGGACACTAACTTTCTCCAATCGAACTTCGAGGGAATCATGAACAGCAGCGCCACGATCAGGATGGAACAAGTCGAATCTTGGATCTGGCAAGCAAAACCATACACAAACATTTGAAACGAACGTATATGAAAATCCGCAAAAACCTTGAGTTCGGTGAAGAGCGTGGACCATCCCTCCAGGAAATCCGGTTGTCGGAAGAACCACAAGAAGAGAGCCAGCAGCAGACAACCGGCGACTCCGATCTCGTGAAAAGTCAAAGCGCCCAAATCCTTAAACTCGTCTCGAATCCCAGCGCGAACCTGAACCTTCTCCAACGTGAACCTTTCCAATCTCTGAGCGGCGTTCGATTTCTCTCTGAAAAGTCCCATGTACTGAACTTGCAGCCACAACCATAGCGAAGCTATGGTGATCAACGCAATCGGAAGATTCAGCAAGGCCCATTTCAGCGTCGTCACCTCGTTGGGAACGCTCGGGAATTTCTCGCTGTGAATCGCTTCGAAAAGAACAACATTTAAAAAACTAATTCTCGTTATCAATTTTGCGATGATACCGTTGAAGTTATGGTTTATGGAATCCGCGGCCATGCAACTTATTCCGCCCACGGTGGAGGCGTACGCGCACGTGAGAAACGTGCAGATCGCTTCGCGACTCGGAACCTCCTCTTCGTCGCGCTCCAAATTGACGTGACTCAAATCCAACGTCTCTTCGGCCGCTTCCAATCTGGAGAAATAGGATATTTCGGTGCCTGAAACGGTGTACATTTTACTAAACTCACTTCGCGTATGAAAATATGTAAGATTAGATTAATAACTGTGCGACTGGAGGCATCTGAATGCTGCATCGAGGATCGGGTAGAGGACGACGATGGCCGAAACGTTGGCCATCCACATGGAAACGAACGTGGCCAGAGCGGCCAAAACGAAGTTGAACAATCGCAGCCGGCATTTCACCGCCAGCAGAAGACCCAATCCGAGGCGACGATGCAGTTGGCTGTGCTCGATGGCCAGAGCCAACATCAAGCTGCACATGAACAGAATGTTACCTTCGGTTATGTAGCAGATGGGGACGATGTCCGAAGATATTATATCCATCGTCGGGAACAAAACCTTTTTTTGGAAATAAATTCGTTATTGATTAATCAAGAAAAGTTAAAATCAATTTACCGTCGGAATCAGAGCTGTTATGGGGAGCGGAAGTGATTCGGAGACCCAATATCCGACCATCAGGATTATAACGTACAGACATTTCAGACTTGTCGTTCCACCGATCAGGAATATCGGCAAAAGGATGACCGGTAGCAAAGTCGTGCAGAAACCTCTCCAATGACTGCGAAGGAACGAGATTCGACCTCCGATCACACGCGACACGTTACGACGCATCTAGACGTAAACCTACTTAATTCTTTTATTTGTGTCTGTTTTTGTTTTGTTTTCTGTTGACAAGATGGGGAACATCACCTGTCACGTAAGGATCACCATCACCTACAGACCGTTGCTCATCGTTCTGAGGACTTTGAGGAAGTACTGGGCCTCAGTGTACACCACAACTTTACCTATGATCATCGTGCCGATCATCTTGGAGCTGAAGGATAAGTTTGCGAAATGCATCTACACGATCGCCCTGATGACAGGACTATGGTGTTTCGATTCCATTCCGCACACTATGATCTCTCTGTTACCACAAGTGAGTAAACAAACACATATATACAAAATAAATAATGAACTTTAATCAGTTGATTTTCCCGTTGAGCGGAATATTGGATTCGAAATCCACAGCCGCTTGCTACTTCAACGAGACCAATTTGCTGAATGTCGCGACGATGATCATCGCCGTGGCCGTGGAGAACAGCGAACTGCACAAGCGGTTAGCGCTCCTCCTGATGATGATCTGCAGGTGCAACGTGCAGCTGATTCACCTCTTCCTGATGCTCATCGCCATGGTAATTTCAATGTTCGTGTGCAATCTGTCGACGGTGATCGTGATGATGCCCGTGGTGAAGGCCATCCTCGTGGAGCTGGACATGAACGGCGTAACTTCTTACTTCAAGTCCGTCTACAAGATGGAGGAGGTGCACAGCGAGTCGAGCCTCCTTCCCCAAGATGTGTCCGTGATCACTGAGCCTCCATCCAAGTTGATGGTGAAAAGTGCGTACAAATTCTCGAACGACGTCCAATTCGAAGAAATCTCGCTGCTCGATCACACGCGACCATCGAGCATCACCACTTGCTTCTATTTGAGCGTCGGATTCGCTGCGACGCTCGGAGGAATCGGATCCGTTACAGGTTCACCCACGAATCACGTGCTGATCGGTTCGTTTCCAAAAATTATTCTCTTCAACAACAATAATATTATTATTATTATAGATTACCTCCAGACAACATTTCCCGATAACCGCTTGAATTTCGCGAAATGGTTTCTCATAGGAAGTCCCATTATGTTAACGTCGACCCTCGTCGTTGCCCTCTTCATGCAGATCTCGTTTTTGGGTTTGCTGAAGCCCAAGAGTTCGAAGAGTAAACGGATGAAATCTAACGCTAACGTAATCGAAGCTGTACGCGTGAAATTGCGATCGTTGCCTTCGGTGACTTTCAAAGAGCTGATGAGTTTCCTCGCATTCCTTATCGCAGCTGTGCTGATGTTCTTCAGGAATCCGATCTTTGTAGAAGGATGGATCACATTGTTTTCGAGAAATTTCGTAAGTTTTTCTTTGATATATTTATTTGTTATTAGTTTTTGTTGATTGTAGATTGGTGATTCGACTGTGGCGATGGCTGTTGTCCTCTTCCTCTTTTCCGTGCCTGCTATTGAGGAGACCTTGGGGTTGCTGCGGATGGAATCGGCTAAAACCGTGTACGATCCACTGATAACCTGGCAACAGGTGCAGAAGAAGTTGCTTTGGACGTCCGTCTTCGTGATCGGATGCAGCTACGCCATCGCCGAAGCCGTTTCGTATTCGGGTCTCAGGGGAATGATAGCCGAAGAGATTACCGGATATTTGGAGGATCACGATGGGAGAACGTTCAACGTCTGCTTCGTCGTCACGCTCATCCTCACGATCTTCATCGACGGCGCGCCCGTTCTCGACATCCTTTTGCCCATCTTCACGACCTTGTGCAGTCGCTTCACGTGCGATCCCATCGAAATAACGATGGCGATGACTCTGGTATCGTCGTACTCTTTTCTGCTGCAGATTGGAAATCCGGTGAACGCCATCGTCTGCGGCTACGCGAAAATCCCGTCGCGCCACCTCCTACTCATCGGATCGTTCGTCACCTTCCTCGTGGCTGGAATCACTTTGATCATGTTTCCATTACTCTACCGAATCGTACATTCATAACTGTTTATTGATAGTTAATCGTAGTTTGAGTAGTTTCGCGCGCACTTCAAATTAGTCCTCTTATCAATGCGATTCGAACTGATTGTTGATATTATTTTTTTATATATTTATATAAATACTTTCTCTCTCAATCTGAGTCTGTCTTGATAAGCTTGATTATATCAGCGAGTTCAGCGCAAAATAACCTTTACTCTGGAGGTCTAGAGAGTGCACAAATTTTAGACTTTTTGGGCGTATAAATTTCCTTTTTTTTTTGAATGGTCAACAGTTTTTTTTTGTTGATTGACCATGGATTTGCTGAATTTGGCTTACGCTTTAGCCTTGTTCTCTATACCGATTTTGGGCTACATAATCTTCTTCAAGGACGACAAAACGGACAAATACAGTGTAGCAAGTAAGATTATCTCCAGTTCAAAAAAATAATTGTTAATAAATTCATTTTGCAGCTTGGTACTATCTGTTCAAACGGAGGTTTTCGGTGAAGACGATCAAAGCTTTTCTCCAGAGGAATAGACGGAGCATAAATTTGGAGTCGGGACAAGTGGAGGAACCGAAGAAATTGGTGCACGAATCGGTAAAGTTTTCAAGTTTATAGTTTGATTTCGTATTTCACGTGGATGAAATTGCAGGAGGAGGATGTTCTCGTGTTCATGGGAAACGATCGGAACGGAAATTCGATTTCGATCAAGTTCGTGACGCGGATGAGGAAAGTCGGCGAACTTGTGGTCTTTCTTCATCTCAATGGAAAACTGTACCAGTTACCGGAAAACCCCGAAGTGCCGCGGAGGAGTCTGAGGAAACGCGAATGGAAAGCGGCCGGACTTTCCGTCAGCTGCGTCGAACCGTACAGCATCTTCAGGATCACCTACAACGGTTTCATGCGATGCGGCGAGTCCGTCGACTTCATGAAGTTCAATCTCATGTACTTAACGGAAACTTAGATTTTTCGATAATTTAAAAATCATATTTGTGTTTTTCTAGTTGGAATGCAGCAAGTAAACCTTTGTTTTATCCGAGCGACTTTGGAAGCGACGTCTTCAGCGATGCGGTGTCGTGAGAGCCGTGGCGCGACGGGGATTGGATCAAGATGCTGTAAGTTCTTGTTCACATCAAGTCGAGTTGAGACATCATTGCATTGTTGTATTCTTTTCAGGGGAGATCGCATCGGTTACGATCAATTCGGATGTCTGCAAGGGGAAATCTTCAGTTCTCTGATGCCGGGAGGCAAGCAGACAGTTTACCTGCCTACCTACAGGAAGAGGTACTTCGGTACGGCGGATCGTCACTCCACGTATCGCGATATCAATGTGTTCGCGGCTTCGGAGGATGGCACCTTGGTGCACGTTGCCACCAGATCCATGATCAACGGATGCACGCAGTAAGTGATCGTTGCTTAGCAACTGCTAGTTTGGTATAACTTCAGATGAATGTGTACAGCAACCGTAAATTTCCATAGCAACCAAACTCTATGTGTAATAGCAACTATAAACTATTCATTTTGAATGTTTCAGATTGAGATACGGCAGCGTCCTCTACGGAAACGGACAATTGCACTGCGTGTCTTCTCACGATATGCTGTTGCAGCATTTGGGAGATGACGGAAACGTACCTAGGAACGTGTCCATCACGTTAACAAGTAACGAAACTAAAGTTTTTGTAACATTTTTTTTTGTTTAATCAACCAAACTTGAACTGCAGCAAAGAAATCCACCATAAGATGCTTCTTCCACGTCTCTCCAAATGCGCAAACTTCGGTGAAGAATGACGAGGCTTGCGGTTGGCTCATGAGGTTTGCCAGTGCTGAAGTCAACATGGATCTTCACAAAGCTCGTGCCACCATGCTCCTATGGTACCCTCACAAAGGTAAATTGGATATTTTTGTTTGTTTGTTAAACGGATGTAATCGCGACTGTGATTGCTTTTTTTTTCAGGAATCGAATCTGCGAATCCTGAGCCGCTGCTGAAACCCTTGAAACCGCTCTACCAGTGCGAAAAGGTCACTTTAACACTGGATGATGAGGATTGTTGCGTTTCGGAGTTGGCCGGTTCCAAGGGAAGCTCTTTGGCTTTGCTTTCTTCCATTGAATCATCCGAAGTAATTTTTGTTTTGTTTCGTTTAAATTTATATAATATTTTTGACTATTTTTCAGATTCAAATTCCGGATGGATTCGTAATAAGTGTACCGGCATTCAGACATCAAATCGGTTCAAATGTTAATTTGAGAAAGTCGGTGGCCATGATTCGCATAGCTTGCGACGATTCTTTGCAAGTTGCTTGTGAAAGGTTGATCTAATTCTCTAATTCGTTCTTTGTTTTTCCCTCTTTTTCACATGTTTTTTTTTCTTTCTTTCAGAGCTGAAAAACTGTTCAAGAACGAAGAAATCGATGCGGAAATCGTCGCTGCTGTGAAACGCGAGATGGGTAAGATCACGCAGAAGAGTTCCGGAGAGATTCGTTGGGCGGTGAGGTCTTCGGCGGTCGTCGAAGAGGATTCCGAACATTTGCTCACAATCCTTGATTGCAAATCGGAGCAGGAGGTTCTCAAGGCTGTGGCGGCGTGCTGGGCTTCCCTGTATTCATTCGACAGGGTGCAATACCGACTGTAAGCTAATCTCGTTAACAAGTAATTTCTAAAATATACTTAGTTATTAAATGGTTTAAAGTACGCACGGAATTCAATTGGATGGTGATATGGGAGTCGTTGTCCAGAAGATGTTAAATCCGGAAGTCGAAGGAATCATGTACACGTGCCATCCTCGAACCGGTGATTTGAGTCGGATGTTGCTGGAATTTCCATCATCGCAGGTATTTTGTTATTTCAGTTGTCATGGTTGAATAACTATATGAACGTTTCCATAGCAACTGCAAATTATATAAGAAACTAATATATATATATAAAATTAACAGAAATCCATGGTGTTGAAGAGGAGTTTCGATGGGAAGATTACGGTTGATGGGAAAACGCTCGAGTTGAGCGTTGATCAGGCTCAGAGTTTGGGTGAAATTGGAGTCGATTTGGAAAGGAGGTGCGGATCTTCCATGGAAATCAAATGGATCATCCAACAGGGAAAAGTGCATTTGCTGCAAATAAGACCGGTGTCGTTGGATTCTTGGACGGATTTCGAATTGGAACACGAATTCGATACTCCAGTTCTGAACGGTCAAGGTGAATTTTGATAATATTTTCGTTTTCTTATATATAAAAATCAAAATGTTCAAGATGTATTCACGACGGCTAACGTGAAAGACGCTATCCCTTCGGCGATGACATCTCTCAGTAATACGATTGTCAAGAGAGCTTTGGATGGGCCGAGATGCGCGGATCGTAGTTTGTTAACTAGGAATCATAACGTGTTTCTTAATGTTAAGAATGTAAGTGGATGCAGATTGGATGGGACATATTAAGGTAGTTTTAATAATAATGTTGCGATTTAGGTTCTTATGAATATTATGCCGAAATACGCGAAAGGAACTTTGCATTTGGCGGCGTTCGGACACGAAGAGCCTCTGCTTCGTCACGGAAATTTAAAGCCAGCTATGATTCTGCTCAAAGAGGTTGTTCCTTGCTTGAAGCACGTCAAGGCGATTGTAAATAGATCGAAGCAATTCACAGAGATTCCAATAGGTAATTGAAATAATTGTTTTATACGTTTTGTATGTATGTTTTGTCTTTTTTTTTTGTAGATATCAAAGTTGGGATGAGCTTGAAGGAGACGCATGAGGCAATCACCAAATATTTGGAGACGTTGCAGGAGATGTGCAGGGCGCATGCTGCCGCCACCCAAGCAACGACGTTCTACCAAAGCGCAGCGATGGTTGCATTGGCTGGAAGTTTGGAAGAGTTCACCAGCGATCATTACCACGACTTTGCTCTGATCCTGCCATCATCCGAACAGTCCTGCTGTATCCCGGAAGCAGCTGTGAAGGCTATCGAAGAGAGCGGAAAGATCGAAGAATTTGTATGCTTGGACGCGCCTTCCGGACGCAAATGGTTGGAGGTGAATGTTCCGAAAGCTTCGATAGCCTTGGAAAGGTTCCTTGAAACGCACGGACATCGCTCTTTGCAGGAGGTTTGTGCTTCTTGTGTTAATTAATAGCGAACGCAATTTAATTTCAATTCGTAGTTTGAATTGATGGGTGAAACTTGGGCGTCGAAACCGGAGATTCTGGTTGGAGTTGTTCAAGCCCTCTGCACCGTGAATTCTTCTGGAAAACCGCAGCGTGGTCTTCGCTCGAGAAAGGTGATGAAATCGCTTAAAACTCCATTAGGATCCATCAGAAGGTTTGCGTATTTAACTTGCGTCATAATGATTTTGCTAATCATCAAATTTCAGGTGGTTATTAAAGTATTTGGTGGTCAAAAGCAGGAGATCTCAAAGGATTGCCGAGGACATCAAATCGGATTTGGCCCAGTCCGTCGACAGATTGCGCAAGGCTTTCCGCGTGTTAGGGGAGGGTTTGGCGGAAATTGGAAGATTACCGCACAGAGATTTGATCTTCCATCTGACGAAGTTTGAAGTTTCGCAGATTGTCAACTGCAACAACCACGAACTTGTCGCAAAGTAAGCTTCGTTTGCCGGTTTGACGATTTGATCTGTAATTGTGTTTTTTTTTTTAAAAAAAGGGCTTTACATCGAAAACGCCTGTTCCCTAAATGGAACAGTTACAGGTACGCAGAATTCCTGCAAGGATTACCGCAACCGGAAGTATTTGCACCCGTCGGCAAGACGTTGGGCGGTGATGTCTTCCTGAAAGGAACGCCAGCTTTCAACGGGGAAGCGCAGGCTCGCTGCTGCGTTGTTAATAAAGTCTCAGATATCGCGCAGATGAAACCTGGTGATATCTTGGTGACGCGAGGAGCGGACGCCGGTTGGTCACCATTTTTCCCAATATTGTCAGGTGTTGTTCTTGAGCGGAGCGGATTATTATCAAACGGTAAACGGTTTTATATATAATGTGATGATTTTATCTGTTATTCAAATTGATTGGTTGCAGGAGCTGCGGTGGCCAAAGAATTCGGGCTTCCGTGTCTTGTCGGAGTGGAGGAAGCGACAAGACACTTCAAGACCGGAGACGTCGTTGCCATCTCTGGAAAATTCGGCACTTTGCGTTTGATTTCTCGCGGAAACGAGCGTTAAAGTATTAATTATTATTATTTCTTAACAATATATATTTATTTCAAATTTAAACGCCATCTATTTCGCAATCACAAACCCTTCCGTTTATTGACGAATTGACTTTTCTTCTTCTTATCAAATGTTTATTTATACAAATAATGTTTTACTTGTTGCCTATAATCTACTGATTACTAAATGTAATTTTGAAATATTTGTTCGATTTTCCTGCTCCTTGATCGATTTTCGCATGATGCAGTCAAAGGATGCGGCGTCGTCAACAGGTTGCCGAGAATGACCCAGTTCAATCGACGCCGCCGCACCTAACCTTAACAATAACAACAATTCATACTCTTTCGTGCCGAAGAATCGTCGTCCCCCTGAGACGATGAGGCGAAAAGTGACGGTCCTCGAGTTCGTGGCCAAAAACTGGCTTCTCCTCGGTATCCTACTGTGCATTGTGTTTGCAAGCGTCTTTCCCAAATTGGGCTCCAAAGGTGGTAAGTTCACACAACACACACACAAAAGCGAACAAAGGAACTCTCTGATTGATTCCTTTTTTTCGGTAGGACCGCTGAAACCCGAATACACCGTCAAGTATGGTGCGGTTTCGCTCATCTTCCTCATCAGCGGGTTAACACTGAAGACGGATTCCATCTTTCACACCTTCAAGCAGTACAGATTGCACCTCTTCATACAGCTCTTCACCTTCGTCCTGATCCCGCTGTACGCACAGCTGGTCGTAAAAGTGTTGGCCTTCTTCGGCGTCAACGGATGGATTCTACGTGGGTAACGCTTCGAAGACGTCTCTTTGGTTGCCTATATAAAAAACTGCATTATATCTGTTTGCAGCTTCATCACCGTCGCCTGCATGCCGCCTCCTGTATCCAGCGCTGTGATCCTGACGAGGGCTGCCAACGGCAACGAGACAGCCGCCATCTTCAATTCGGTCCTCGGAAGCTTCCTGGGCATCATCCTCACGCCAATCTCACTTTTAATCAACGTATTATCAATATTTCCTCTTTCAGAAAACACAACACAACTTATTGCAATATTTGAAATTCGCAGCTAGGTTTCACGACCGTTGTGCCTCTGATGGGCACAGTCGTGCAGCTCATCACCACCGTCCTCGGACCTCTGATGCTGGGTCAAGCCATAAGGAATTGCACTTCCTTCAGGGGTCACACTCTGCCTTTGGGCACCGTCAGTCAGTTGGCTCTGATAGTGGTCATCTTCACCACCTTCTGCGATACCTTTGAAACTCCAGAGATGGGTCTCACTGCAAGCGATATCCTCATCACGGTGTTCTTCGGTGAGATCCACCATCTGTGACGGATCACTCCATCAACAATGATTAACCATCACTTTTTTTTTTTGTTGTTGTTGTTGTTTAACAGTCTTAATGATGCAAATCTCCCTTCTTTGGGTCAGCTTCCATTTGGGCAAATACAATAAGAAGTACTTCGAGCCTTCGGACACCATCGCCATCGTGTTTTGCTCTACCCACAAATCGCTTACCTTGGGTATACATACAGTATTTCTCGCATTTTTACGCGCTTAAATCAACATCATTTCGTGCTTTCTTTCTCAGGTATTCCAATACTGCGTATAATGTTCCACGGATTCTCCCATTTGAGCCAGATCAGTCTTCCGCTGCTCGTCTACCATCCAACTCAGATCATCCTAGGTGGAATGGTGGTCAGTCATCTGAAGGAATGGGGGCAGAAGCATCGTAGACCGCCCGTCTAAAGAAATCAAATCAATTTGGAAATTTTAACCGCACACATCACGAATTCTTCTACTCTTTTAAATGCATGCTACTACATGCTTACAATTATTTGTAAGCCGCCATCAATGCAAATGCAACAGACATTGCTATTTCCTAGTACATAGTTTTATACATGTTTCGTTTTAATAAATTATATATATTGTACAACTCACAATCATTCCAATCCTCCTGTCCAAAGCACCAAAAACCATCAACGTTCACACCTGAAATATGAAAACAGTTGAGTAAGTGAAAGGTAGGAAATCTTTTCGTAAATTATATGTACTTACCAAACGAAAAGCGACAATTTAACGTGTTCTTTCTATGCAGTCTGATTTTACCTTTCTTTTCGCGCACTCGTTCTTAATTTAATTATAACTTGTCGCGCTACGACACCGTGAAATCCTCCCGAGGCTAAATTGGAGCGTAAAATCTCAAGTTTAATGTGTGACATATTCCCGATTTTATTCGACTGAGGATGACGGACATATTTTATAGCTGTGTAGGATATGTTGAATGTGTAGGATATTTGTGGTGTGTGTGTGATCATCATTAATAATGGATGCGCGGAGGCTGCGGCATAGCTGGATACTCTACGGCCGTGACGAACGAGGGCGCATTCGAAGCCTTCTTGACCGGAACGTTCTTCTTCTTCTTCTTCTTATTTTTCTTGTTCTGCTCGTTCGGCGAGTACCCGGGCTTCTTGATCAGATCCGTCGGACAGATCTTCGGCTTCTTCTTAATCTTGACGCACTTTTGCGGCTTCTGCAAATTGAAATTCATCATACAAAATCATCTTAGCATCTGCATCATCATACATCGTCGCAGAGCGAGTTATCGATCGGCGGGCAATGCTTGTCTCTTTCGTCGCCGCCGTCGCGACAACCCTCGCACTGCATTCCCGCCGCCGCCCTCTCCAACGACGTCGCGCACTTGTCCTCCTTCTCGTCCGGACAATCGACGATCAGCTTCCTCTTCTTCTTGGCGCACTTGTCCACCGGCGCCGGCTTCACTTGCTTCTTGCCAATCTCGTACGTCTCCTTCTTGAATGGGAACTTGGTGCACTTCCTCGTCTTCGGCTTCTTCCCGGCGAGATGCATCGACGGGATCCCGGCATCGCTGCGCAGGTTGTCCAACCATTCGAAACTCCTCTCGGCTTCTTTCTAGAGAAAATACGCATTTCAATATACGCGCATCATTGAAAATGCACCTCTCACCTCTTGCACGACCTCGTTCATCGCCTCGTAAACTTCATCCACCTGCAACAAACAAAATAAATGTGCAACGATAGAGAAGAGACGCAGATGCGAACAACCTCGGCGACGTCTTCCAATTTGCCGGGTGATTTGCTCGGCCTCTCCGAGTTGGTGTGGTAGTTCTTTTTGGTCGGTTTAAAGTTCGGATGATCCTCCGGCTTCCACGGGCACAGCTTACACTCGCTCGGCTTGTTGTACGGTTCCTCCACGCACGTCTCGCTGAAGCACGGATAGGGCGCCTGCTTCTTCTCGCATGGTTTATGCTGAACAAATACAACTTAATAAATACTACATACAGCAATATGAAAACTGAATTTACAATGTATTCCCGTCCTCGGCAGATCGTCTTCTTCGCTTGCATGCAGTTCTGAAGCGGAAGCTTTTGGCAGGTCGTCTTCTGCTCGACGGCTTTGCACTTCTTCTCCGATTTCTTCTTGTTGCCGCACGTCGAGTAATTCCTGACCGCGGCGTCCGAGGAAGGTACACGCTCCTCCAGAAGGTTACCGCTTTGCAACGACAAGTTCATCATCGACATCCGTTGCGCCACCGTCCTGAAAACACCGTTCTCGCGGTCGTAGGTTCATTCAGTCTCTGCTGCTGCTGCTGCCATCGATTTGATTACCTTGAACGTGCAGTCCTCGCCGATATCTCTTCGGCGTAACGAGGGAATGGTATGGGCTGCATCTTCTGATGGTAATGGTTTGTCCTGATCGGAGTCGTCCTCGGTCTGCACACTTTGTAGGGCTGCGCTATCAGTTCGACGAGCCGGTTACTGTGTGGAAGCACCGCCGCCTGCTTCTGCTGCTGCTGTTGATCGTCTTTTTTATCTGGCGCGACGCCAGAGACGCATCGCTGCGAGGAAGCGGTGCGTTTCGAAAACTAACAAATATATACATTATAGATTATAAATTATATATCAGAATTGGTTTACGTACTGTGGTTAAAATGTTACGATTAATTTTGCTGGCCAAACGCAGAGCCATGGTGTTTTCGCTCTCCTCTTCTCTTACACGGAATTTAAATACTGTGGGGGGTGTGGATGTGTCAAAAAATGTGTGCGCGTGTGATTAATAAACAGCGTGTCGTCATGGCGAACGTGCGCTCTCTTCGATCACCGAAAGGACAACGATAATATACATATCATGTTTTAGGACGGGGAATTTTTGTTTCTTTTTATTTCGACAAATTACATAATTTTGTTTTGTTTTTGTTGTTTCACTTCATGCGACCGTCGTAATTGGTCTTCGGGTCGATGTTCGTGAAGTCCGTCTTGTTGCTGAAGTAGTTTGGCAGCAGACTCGGTTGCAAGTGTTGCTGACGCGTGTTCTCTCTGAACTGTTGCACCTCGTTGTTGATGGAATACCTCATCAATCGAAGAGGCGTCGTCCTCGGCTTGTACACCTCGTACGCTTTGCTTCGCTGCTGCTGCTGCTGCTGTTGTTGTTGCTGCTGCATCGATTCTTCCATCTGACCTTTCGATGATGAATCTTCCAAGTATCTTCTGGGACTGATCAACACCTACAGAAAGAACATATTCATATTTTCAAACTTTCCTATTTCCCTTTTCACTTGCATTCTTCGAACAACGACGACAATTTTTAACAAAGGCCATTATTTATCGCAGACGCAGGAATTTTTTTTGTCGTACACCTCAACTGTCATCAGAATTGACATATTTCAATTTTCTCCATTCAATGATTACATAGCCAACTTGTATAATTTCAGCGTTTCTATTTATTTAAATTTCTTATAATTATAATAAACTAAGTTTAAATCAAGAATTTTAACAAATTTTTGCAGAACACTTGCAGAACACTTTGCAGAACACTTGTATTCTTCGAACAACGACGACAATTTTTAACGAAGACCATTATTTATCGCAGACGCAGGAATTTTTTTTTGTCGCACACCTCAACTGTCATCAGAATTAACAGATTTATTCTATCAATTTTCTCCATTCAATGATTACATAGCCAACTTGTATAATTTCAGCGTTTCTATTTATTTAAATTTCTTATATTTATAATAAACTAAGTTTAAATCAAGAATTTTAACAAATTTTTGCAGAACACTAGCATTCTTCGAACAACGACGACAATTTTTAACAAAGGCCATTATTTATCGCAGACGCAGGATTTTTTTTTGTCGTACACCTCAACTGTCATCAGAATTGACATATTTCAATTTTCTCCATTCAATGATTACATAGCCAACTTATATAATTTCAGCGTTTCTATTTATTTAAATTTGTTATAATTATAATAAACTAAGTTTAAATCAGAGGTTCCCAAACTTTTTTGTGTCGTAGACCCCTTTGCCATGTTTTTCGGTTTTGGGTAGAATTACCTACTTATCTGATATTGATTTTTTTGTAAATTTATAACTGTAGTGAAGTTTACTGTTAAAAACTTAAAGTAAAAACACATATTAAGATTTATACATTTATTAATTGAATTTAAATGAAAACTACTCAAAATAAAATTTCGTATCTGTTATATAAAATATACGTAACATAAAATAAACTAAGCAATAAGTGAATGTTTTTAGTGAGAAGGATTAATCTGATGGTTTAATAATAAATTATCAACATTTGGTGTCAATTATGTAAGGTTTAATCTTAAATCTCCTAGTCTAATGATGTCCAGTCTGTTAGGAAATTGGTAACAGTCAAAACGTCCTCAAACCTAGTTTCTAAATCTGAATAGAGGGCATTTAAATATTGAACTGGGAAAATTTGCCCCGTCCAATATTTTGCTTCATTAGTTTAACACTGGCAAGAAACGCTAATAAGATGGACTTTGTTTTAATCAAATTTAGACTGTCGCCTTTAGACAAATCTGTTAAGTAGGCGATGTCTGTTTTCCACTTCATTAAATTGTCTTTTAAAATGTTATCTTTAGTTATCCAGAAATTCTAAAATAGTTTCAAAAAGTGCAAAAAATCTTCTCAAACATAAGCCTTTCGACAGCCAGGTTTACTGCAACAATGACTAATTGAAGAGATTCATACAATCTAACACTCAAATTTTTAGCAACTAAATAATGTATATGTCTTTATATTATAAGATAATATAATGTAAGTAAATAGGTACTATTTTCATTTCATGGACCTCCAAATTTGTTTTTCGCTGACGTAGACCCCTTGCAGCTTGTCATAGACCTCTGGGGGTCGATATAGACCACTTTGGGAATCACTGGTTTAAATCAAGAATTTTAACAAATTTTCTTTTGATACTTCTATAGTGAAGATCAACTTTCTCTATGCTGCTGTAATTATCAGACAATTAAATTAGTTAATTAAATTTCTTGATAATTAAGCAACTGTTAGACTGTCATTAATTTTTTGTTGTCAAGCAACGCCTTCTTTTTTTTTTGTTTGTTACTATATAAGTGACTCCTCGTGTTTCGGTCCGTTTCCTTGGTGATAGAAGAGAAGGTTTGTCTCTCGATTGATGCGTTTGTGGGACGACGAATTATACGCTCTGTTAAGCTCTATCTTTGCAAAAAATTAAACCGAAGAAGCGATGGTTTTGAAGTTCAGTTTTGGAGAAGACTTCGAAGAAGATGCACCGAATTTTGTGTGTAACAGCTCTTGTGGCTTTGAGTTTAGGTTCTGATGCGCCCATAAGAATCATTGACATCTTCACCAATTACCCGGACACCAATGAAGTGCTTAAAGAGTACAGTTTGATCAGAAGCAAAAGGACGAACGAGACGGGAAACGTTGCCGAAGCTAGGAATTATTACGATTACTACGATCGTTACGATAATCACAAGTATTACACCGCTGGAGGTGGAGGAGATCAATTGGAATCAGAGTTTGGTGTTTTCGATGCGTCTCAACACGAAGATAACGATGATTTCGTTTACGTGCAAGGTGAGAAAGTGTTGGATTACGTCCCGGTGAGCAAGAAGCACGACTACGAAGAGGATGACACCGACAGTTTTAAGGATAAGCTGAACAAATTCATGGTGCAAGTGCAGAAGAAACCAGACGAGCTTCATTTCAGCAACGACGGTCTGATACCTGCTGAAGATAATGTTGATATCGAGAGCGAGTACGGAGAGATCGTTAGGAAGCCGGCGCCGGCGAAGAAGCGCAGGAAGAAACGTCCTCATCAAGTGAAGCCGAACCTTCCGCAACTGAATTCGACCAATCGGAATCGCGTCACCAACATGATGAGGAAGTACCTGGTGAGGATGCACAAGAAGAAAGGGAGGAAAGTCAACAAAGATCGCACCTTCAACGCAGTTCCGTTTAATAAAAAGACCGAATACAACGTGGCTTATCAACTACCCGATACGCAAGGTAAATTCCTGTCGCATCCTCTGGAACATCTCAAGAACAAGACGAAACTCTTCGCCAACAAATTCCTCAGTCTGTTCACGATCATACAATTCGCCAACTCCAAGTGTCAGGCCTCGAACTCGCTAACGGAGTATGAAGGTACCTGTTACTTGGCAACGGAATGCGAACAGATGAACGGGATTGCCATGGGGAATTGCGCGGACGGTCACGGCGTCTGTTGCGTCTGTAAGCAATGAAATTATTGAAATTGTAAAAAAATAATCTTCGTTTTTTTGTTAAAAGTTAAAGGAAGTTGCGGCGGGGTCGGCTCAAACAATTGCACGTACTTCGAGAGTCCCGGTTATCCCAATTACTTCCCGGAGAACGGAGGTGTAGTCGTTCCTCCGGAGACGACGACCACGAATCCGAACACACCGGATCCGAGGTTAACGTTTTTGGTGAGGCAGGGACGTGCGGACGATGATCTCGCTAACGCTCTGTCGTGCATCTACAAAGTGTACAAATCGAGTGACAATATCAAACAGATGCGCATCGATTTCATAGATCTAGAGGTATGTGTAAATAAACAAAAGAGTAACAATTAACGAAATTTGATAGTTGAAAGGTCCGACGAACGGCGTCTGCGTCGATGAGAAACTGGTAATTTCCGGTTCCGGTCTGAACACGATGGTGCCCATTCTGTGCGGATACAACACCGGACAACACAGTAAGAATGAAATTAATTATATCAAATTGATTTTATTGTTAATTTTATTTAACAGTTTACGTGGATGTCGAGAGTCTGTCGGGGCCATTGCAGATAGCGGTTTTGGCGAACAACATCGAACGGAAGAGATACAAAATGAAGATATGTCAGTACGATGACAGTTGCAGCGGATTGATGAGTTGCCTTCAGTATTACACGGGCATAAGCGGCGTCATCAGCAGCTTCAATTACGAGAAAGCTGCGACGTTCAGCAGAAGCGATCCTCAATATCTGGTAATGTTTGGGGGAAAAAAAATTGAAGAATTACGTTTTTGAACAGTTTCGCTTCGCTTTGCAGAACAATCTCAATTACGCGATTTGCATCAAGAGAGAACCGGGCTACTGTACGGTAACTTATCGTACCACCGGCAACAACGTGCAGTATCCGTTCGAGCTGAAGAACTTCGACGAAGGTAGTAATATAGAAGAACGCGAACGAATTTGATTTAATTTCTTTGGGCTTTGCTTGCAGATGGAATGCCCACAGTGCCGAACGGTCAAGCCGGCGTTGGAGTTATCAACTGTCCCGACGATTACATCGTTGTAAACGGAATCCGATTGTGCGGAGATCGACTGAACGACGGTTCGGTCGAAGAGGATTTCTCACTGAATGCTCCAGTCACTGGTAACTCTTCAATTTGATCACATTCACAATTAAAAAAAAACTATTAATAAAACTATATGGTGGCTATGGTAGTCATGGAAACTAATTGACAAGCGATGCCTACTTTGTTAGTTGAGAAAGTGTTGAACGGAAGGTTTTTGTTTTCAGATATGAGTAATGGGCCTATCGTGATTCCGGTGAAGACGAGCGGTTCGGGAACTGGAAGAGGCTTCAAGCTGTTCTACATGCAGAACAAATGCGGAAACGGAAACGGAATGGGGGGAGGAAACGTGCCGGATCCGAGAACCTGACTGATCCACGCGTTAAATTTAACCGGGCACTATTTATTGTTAAAAAAAGAGCACCTAATTTATTTGTTATTTATTAAACGTCCTTCTCGTTAATCCAATACGATAGTAGTTTTTCTTTCTTTCCTTCCTTCCTTCATTTGTGAAACATTCTAATATTTCATTATTTTTGTGATAGGAATTGGAATAAAATTAATCTTAAGCAAGCCATGAAAAAACAAAAGTTTCTGACATTTTGTCACATATTGTAGGTTTTGTTTTTACTAATAAAAAGTTTCAGTTTGTAACGTTGAGATTGAAAAGTTTGATTTTGAGGCAAAATTTCCAAATGAACTTCCTGACTCGTCCACTAGTTCAATTTGACTTTTTAGAGTAAAAAAAAATAAATGAAAAATGTAAATTTTGTTTTAAAGTATAGAACAAATACGTATGAAAGGTAGAAAAACAAAACCGAAAAATTGAAATATCATTTAAAGTTTTTTTATATTTCCACAGTTCACTGTGGAAATAGCGAGTCCCGAAAACGTCAGAAACTTTCATTTTTATTTTTCATGGCTTGCTTAAAATTAATTTTTCTCGTTAATCCAATACAATAGTAGTTTTTCTTTCTTTCTTTCCTTCCTTCATGTTTCGAAGACTTCGGGAATTGATGAGATGATGAAAGAGAGACGTTGGTGGTGGTGGAAAATTACCGTTTTCCCCGCTGAAGAATTTTAACTGGTGTCCGCATCAATAATGGAGAAAGGCGGAAAATTGTTAAGGAAACTCTCGGGCCGGCCTTCTTTCTCCTCGTTCTTGTCCTATCTGCTTCGCGCGCGTCTGAATAATGGATGGGTCCGAATGCAGTTCGTCCTTTGAATTAATGATACCCTCCACCACCACCACGATGAGGAGCGTCATCGAAGGGCACCAGAAACATCTGCTGGAGTTCCCAAAAATATAAATAAAAAGAAACGTTCAGACGAAGAGAGAATATGCGTATCGGATACGCACAGAACGCTTCCTATTATCATCATCAATATTACGATCGTCATCATCATCATCATGTGTTGACATGAATTTGTACTTTGTAATTGTATGGAATCGAGTTGGCATCCGGTCGTGTCGCGTGTCCTTTAATTGGGGGGGGCTTGATGATTAATTGTCGGTGAAGATTTTCGTCGGTGGAGGTGGTGTAAGGGGGGAGTGGGGGTTGAAAGTGTGTCGGTTAGGGGTGCGTTGGTCGTGCCCCGTTTCAAATAACAACAATTTCCGAAGCGCTAATATAGGTTAAAATTGATTTTATTGTATGTAGTAGGCCCCCAATTGTAACTATGGAAGCAATATTTATTATTAAACGGTGCGCGTCCCGTGGTGACCGCGAAAAGCACATGTGTCCAGTCCAGTCACCGATGCGACACGCGCATCTAGTCACCTGCTCACCATCATTATTCATCGACAACAAAACAACGACGACGACGATAGAGAGAACGACGTACAACGGGGTAATAATAATAAGGGATACTATGGTGCTACGCACTCCGAATCTCCACGGCAACGGTCCGCAGATTGCAGCCTCCTGCGATTAGAGCCAGCACGAAATGGAGGGAATCAGCAAGGACGGAAACTTCCTGTTCCTCGAAAACGAACGCGACGTTTCCGGCGGTAAGCGAATGGAAGTTCGAGGAAATCAAAAAAAAAAGGATTCAAAAACTTTTCAATCTCAAAATTTAACGCAACAAAGATACAACTTTTTTGTTTTTGAAACATAAGACTACTGTTTCAGCTTACTTAAAAGCCTGAAAGCTCTTCAGGACTCGCTTCGCTCGCCCATCAACTTCACTCTTAACATCAAAGATTACACTTCTAAATAATTTTTGAGTAAATTAATTAATCTTGAATTATTTTCTGAAAAGTCTAAAAATTTCATCGAAATGACAATAGTTTTCAGATCCTTAATATGAAAAATTATGAAATTTCAATTTTGTTTTCAGTTTTCTGCCTTCCACGTGTTTGTTCTATATCAAATTTGTAAAGATTAAAAAAAACATCATTCATTTTCAAAACAAAATTTACATTTTTCATTTATTTTTTTACTTCAAAAGTCAAATTAAAGGGTAAAGTTTCGTGACTGAATGATGATGAGTTTATTCAGTCCAAAAGTTTTGATAACGTTTCCCAGAACTTCTCAACAACCTTCGTTTCCTATTTTCTCATCATTTATAGATACATATAATTTCTATGATTCTATAATTCTATCTACATTTTTCTAACGATTATTGTAAATGACTTAATTTTGTTTAGTTTACGCTCAGACATCAATAATCATCAACCAAATAACATACGAAACATACTCATTATTAATATAATTTGCTGCTTATTTTCATGTCATAATGTCACAGATTAAGCAAGAAAACAAAACGATTTTATTATGATCTAATTACCCTTATTAGTAGAAGAATTATTATCATTATCCATTAAAAGCTTTAGTGAAATAATCAATTCGGATAAAATACTTGTATTAAATTATGTTCATAATGAAGTTAAAAATGTAAAACAGGGCAGTAATCAATAATTTTAAAGGATCTTTCTTTTTTTTTCTTCTCTCTTCTTCAATTGGTTCACGGTTAATCCAATAGAAACTCGGTCGCATTCCTAGAATGAAACCGTTAAACATTCATTGGTTTCATGTTTCACAATTATTAATCACTTTTATTTTTTATAATCTAAACGTGTACACTTTCATAAAACACGTAGAACGAAACGAAACAAAAACAAAAAACAAGATGTTGATAACAATTTCAGCTTACTTAAAACAAAACAAAAAAGAACTGTAGTTTTATGTTTCTGTATTTGAATAAAATTAATTTTAAGCAAGCCATGAAAAAAAAAACTGAAAATTTCTGACGTTCTCAGGACGTCAGGATTTGTTGCAAATTGGAGGTTGAAATTCTCTTAATATTTGATTCGATTTTAAAACATTGTTTAGTGTTCAAATGTTTGAAAATTTTATTGTTTTTTGATGGGCGAGCGAAGCGAGTCCTGAAAACTGTCGAAATTTGTGAAACATTCTAATATTTCATTATTTTTTGTGATAGGAATTGGAATAAAATTAATTTTAAGCATGCCATGAAAAAAAAAACTGAAAGTTTCTGACGTTTTCAGGACGTCAGGATTTGTTACAAATTGGAGGTTGGAATTCTCTTAATATTTGATTCGATTGTAAGACATTGTTTAGTGTTCAAATCTTTAAAATTTTTATTGTTTTTTGATGGGCGAGCGAAGCGAGTCCTGAAAACTGTCGAAATTTGTGAAACATTATTTCATTATTTTTTGTGATAAGAATTGGAATAAAATTAATTTTAAGCAAGCCATGAAAAAACAAAAGTTTCTGACATTTTGTCACATATTCTAGGTTTTGTTTTTACTAATAAAACGTTTCAGTTTGTAACGTTGAGATTGAAAAGTTTGAAAATTTGGGTTTCCTTGTATTTTGAGGCAAAATTTCCAAATGAACTTCCTGACTCGTCCACTAGTTCAATTTGACTTTTTAGAGTAAAAAAATAAATGAAAAATGTAACAGTTCACTGTGGAAATAGCGAGTCCCGAAAACGTCAGAAACTTTCATTTTTATTTTTCACGGCTTGCTTAAAATTAATTTTTCTGTTCTTTTCAAGTCTCAATTACATTTTCAAACAATTTTCAGTAATGTAATGTAGAATGTTTCAAATTTTCGACAGTTCTCTGTGGAAATATAAAAAATTTCAAATTACTGAACAATGTTAACGACAAAAGATTTCAAATATATATATTGTTAAGATGTTGTTGAAGGTTCTTCACGTCGTGCCAGCAACGAGAGCACATGCAGTCTTCACGTTCCTCTGAATCTTGAAACGTCTGCAGCACCGCAGATCGCGACCATCGCCGGATCCCTGCTGAAGCCCAGATCGCAATCTCTGGTCTCGGTTGGAACGAAGAAATCTATAGTTTGGGACCACGAGACACTGCTGAACGGCATCGAGGAGAGTCCCAGATCGAAGTACACGCAATCGACGCACCGTCGCAGCTCACTGCAAGCCGAAAAGGTGAATCTCTTTTGAAAATTCCTCCGAGAAAAAAAACCGCGTGAATAATTCGTCGTTGGGTCGTGGCAGGTGTTGTTTGCTCGATGATATTTATAGGGTTGGAATTGAAAGAAAAAAGCGTGCCCCAGTCGTGACGTAGTTCGAAAAACCGTTTTCTGGTTCAACATCGAGGCGGGGGTGGTGGTGGCCTGACGTCACGATAAGATAATAAGTTTTATTAAGTATTAACGCTAATCATATACGCTAACACTCTATTTCTACTGGTCTGATTAATACATGAGCTTCTTATGCGCTCAAAATTGATATACCAATTACGTATACAATTTTCCGGTTTCGTTCTCATTCTCAGAACTATCACTTCAACTCTTATCTACAACTTTAACATATTCCAATTATAACATTCCTACCTATAATTAACATCTTCTTTACTATATATATAAAATATTCATAAGTTACACTAAACGATTTTTAAATTGAAACTGACATAACCTCAATAGGAAACGAATGACGATCAAATGAAATAGTAACGTTTCTTTTATGACAACTGTTATTAAATTTCTCGAGAAATATCAAGATTTATATAAGAATAATACATATGCACTTCACGTCTAAAGAATTTTAAAAGATCCTTTTCAAACATTAAACGAAATCTAACATAAATAAACTTGATATACAATGAATCGCAATCAAATGAAATAGTAACGTTTCTTTTATGACAATTTTGTTCTTGAATTTCACGATTATTAAATTTCTCGAGAAATATCAAGATTTATATAAGAATAATACATATACACTTCACGTCTTAAGAATTTTAAAAGATCATTTTCAAACTTTAAACGAAATGTAACATAAATAAACTTGATGTAGAATGAATGGCAATCAAATGAAATAGTAACGTTTCTTTTATGACGACTATTATTAAATTTCTCGAGAAATATCAAGATTTATATAAGAATAATACATATACACTTCACGTCTTAAGAATTTTAAATGATCATTTTCAAACTTTAAACGAAATGTAACATAAATAAACTTGATAAACAATGAATGGCAATCAAATGAAATAGTAACGTTTCTTTTATGACAACTATTATTAAATTTCTCGAGAAATATCAAGATTTATATAAGAATAATACATATAACTTCACGTCTTAAGAATTTTAAAAGATCCTTTTCAAACTTTAAACGAAATCTAACATAAATTAACTTGATATACAATGAATCGCAATCAAATGAAATAGTAACGTTTCTTTTATGACAACTATTATTAAATTTCTCGAGAAATATCAAGATTTATATAAAAATAATACATATACACTTCACGTCTTAAGAATTTTAAAAGATCATTTTCAAACATTAAACGAAATCTAACATAAATAAACTTGATAAACAATGAATGGCAATCAAATGAAATAGTAACGCTTCTTTTATGACAATTTTGTTCTTGAATTTGACGATTATTAAATTTCTCGAGAAATATCAAGATTTATATAAGAATAATACATATATACTTCACGTCTTAAGAATTTTAAAAGATCATTTTCAAACTTTAAACAAAATCTAACATAAATAAACTTGATATACAATGAATCGTAATCAAATGAAATAGTAACGCTTATTTTATGACAATCAAACGATTTGTTCTTGAATTTGACGATTCAGATTTCGAAAATAACTCGTTTCATTTCCGAGATCGATGAGAAGAGATCATCGACGACGCATCAACATTACCATCATCATAATCAACACGCGACGTTCAAGGATGCGTTCGGACCACAGCTGAGCAACGACAATCTCGCCACGTTACCGGGAACACCTATTCCGTCCCTGGTCCAGGACAGTCCGGACCTGGACGCAACTGAATTACCTCCACCGACGCCGCCCAATTCCGGTAAATTGGAGGTATGTACAAACATTTTGAATGTACATTTAGTATGTAGTGTATGTAGTGTATAATTATGATGTTTAGGTTTAGGCAGGTCCGATTGAATAATGAATAAATTCGGAGCAAACAAACGTTCGAAAATATACGCGCGCACACACACATATATATTTGTATGTTTGTAGATGAAAGTGTGCACAATTTATGGAATTAATATGTCACCATTTCCGAGGGAATTGATCGTGTGTTTTGTGTACGCGTCGCATCGATTTCCTTCCTTTCCTTTAACCGTACGCGCGCGAAGTCAATTCCGCATCGACGAACAATGTCACACGATAAGGAAAGACGACGAAAATGTTTAGAATTTTTCCTTAATTTCTTCTGCAGCCTCTGGACCCGGAGAGTCTCTACTTCCGCGATGGACGTAGACAGATAGACATGATTTTAGTTTACGAGGAGGAGGAATTGGGTGTTATGACCGAAGCCGAGGCCAAAAGAAGAGATAACAGAAGGATATTTCAGGTACTCTACTTTCACATTCAAACAATTGTTACAACTTTAACTTTCAAAGAAACAAACAAAAAGTAGTTGTTGATCATTTCAAATGATTTTGAACATTTATTAACAATTTTTGTATTAAATTTTGACTATTTTAACTAATTTTTACAATTTTTCATCAAATTTCTCTATTTATACCATTTACCATATAAATTGTTTTTTTTTACCATTTTTAACCATTTAAACTAATTTTTATTCATTTAGATAGATTTTGACCATTTGAACTAATTTTTTTGATCATTTGAACTAATTTTCCGCACTTTTGACCATTTGAACTAAGTTTTACAATTTTTCATCAAATCTCTATATAAATAGATGTTTTTTTTTACCGTTTTTGACCATTTGAACTAATTGTTACCATTTTGTTGTGCTCAGGTATTTTATTGTTTTCTATAAGCAATTATTTTTTTTTGATGTCCAACGTGGGGCAAATCACTCTTTTGTTTTTAATTTTTAAATGTTGACTTTTGCATTTGCTAGATCAAACAAATCAAAAGTCCATTTGCTTCTTTAAAACGTGTTTTTTTTTCTTCTCTCTTTCAAATATTTAATGTGTGTCAATATGGAGAGAAACGATTCGATTCGTTGCATATTGATGAGACGTATGTAAATCGATGTACATCGTAGATAATTAATTCCGTGTAAAGAGCAACTGTTTAAATTCCGAAATAAACGTGTTTTCTATTATTATTCATGATAATTAGAATTAGAATTTTTATGAGAAAACATAAGTTTTTCTTTTTGTTGTAAATTCTAGGAAAATATTGTGAAGGAGGGTTTGGAGTTGGAAATGGAGCACAAAGACGTGTCTTTCGATGGGAAGACCTGGTTCATAAAGATCCATCTGCCGTGGAAGACGAAGACGAGGTACGCGTCTTTGATGGGCATGAAATTGCCCATCAAACGATTCATAACGATCTCCGTCAAAGCTTGGGTGAGTTAGAGAGAATTCTTAAGATTTGTTGATCATTTCAAATAATTTTGACAATTTTTGAACATTTTTTGTATTAATTTTTACAATTTTTCATCAAATCTCTCTATTTATACCATATAAATTATTTTTTGACCATTTGAACTAATTTTTACCATTTTTTTTTGATCATTTGAACTAATTTTCCTCACTTTTGACCATTTGAACTAAGTTTTACAATTTTTCATCAAATCTCTATATAAATAGATGGTTTTTTTTTACCGTTTTTGACCATTTGAGTTGATTTTTAATCATTTGAACTAATTGTTACCATTTTTAACCATGTGAGTTGATTTTTAATCATTTAGATAGATTTTGACCTTTTCAACTAATTTTTAACATTTTTTTGATAATTTGAACTAATTTTTGAATAATTGATTGATTTCGATCATTTCAACTAATTTTTACTATTTTTAACCATATTAGGATGACGACAAGGACAATAACAGGGATAAATCGTTTTACGCGAAATGGAGGCAAAAATGGCGAGATATGTTCGAGTACAATCAGGATTTAATTGAGAAAGAACCGTCGTTCTACGATGCGACGGAGGGTGCGGATCGCGAAGAACAGTGAGCACGAGTTTCCTCAAGATTAACACTTCTTAAGTTTTTGTTTCTTTGTTCTCCCCCCCATCAGATTCATAGTTAAAGATCGCGTGACCGCTTACTCGAGCGCCCAACGCAGTCTGATCGTGATGCAAATTTTACTCAGGGTTAAATTCGACGACACCGATAAGGTACAAGTGATTTCCGAATGCCGTAATGTAATTTCACCTGTTGATGATTGATTTATCTTGAAGGTGGGAATCAGGAGACTGCTGAACGATAACACTTATATAGCGTGTTTTCCTCTGCACGAGGGTAGTTACGAGAAGGAGGAGAGCGACGGGACTGTTTTAGATAGAAGAGTGAGTCTGTTTGTTATCATTAGTCCGTTAGTCCGTTAGTGTTGATTAACGATGCTTGCAGCTATTATACTTGGAATGGGCTAGACCTTCCAAATGGTACAAAAGGCAACCGCTGAGGTTGGTCAGGAAATATTTCGGGGATAAAATCGGTTTGTACTTCTGCTGGCTCGGATTCTACACGAAGATGCTTTACGCTCCGGCCATCGTCGGCACTCTGTGCTTCCTCTACGGTCTGGCATCCATGGACAGCGACGATAATATACCTAGGTACATTACCTAACATTTAGACATTGACAATATCATTGACATTAATTTGACATTGACATTAACAATAATTTTGACATTAATCTGACGTTTTCTCATTGACAGCAAAGAGATCTGTGACATCAACGGACCGGGAAACATAACGCTGTGTCCGCTGTGCGACAAGGCGTGCAGATACCAGAAGCTCATCGATAGCTGCAAATTCGCGCGATTGACGTACCTCTTCGATAATCCGGCCACCGTGTTCTTCGCCATCTTCATGAGCCTCTGGGGTGAGCATTTACTATAGAAACTTTGACAACTCTGTCGTATTTGAATCTGACTCGTTTTTTTTTCCTCTTGGAACCAGCGACCCTTTTCCTTGAGCTGTGGCGGAGGAAGCAAAGCGTCATCCAATGGGAATGGGATCTTCAAGGAATTGAAGAGGACGAAGAACCGCGGCCAGGTAACTTTGTAAAGTTCCAAAACGTCATAACTTCTCTGTCAAATGTCATCCAATTGTCATCACTGACAGTTGATACGTCAATTAATTAAATGTTTTGATTTTTCTCTTCAGAATTTGAGACAAGCGTGAAAACGTACAGGACGAATCCGGTAACGAGGGAGAAGGAAGCGTATCTGCCGACGTGGTCAAAGACCCTTCGTTACTTCGCCACCGGATCTGCAGTTTTCTTCATGGTACCATGGCGATATTAAATGTTTCTTCTAATGAAATCGATTGATATTGCAGTTGATAGTGGTTCTGTGCGCCGTACTTGGAACAATAATCTATAGACTGTCGCTGGTTTCCGTGATATACGGGGGCGGCGGTTTTTTCCTCAAGAAACATGCCAAAATCTTCACGTCGATATCCGCCGCTCTACTCAATCTTGTAATCATCATGTTTTTGACGCGCGTAAGAATTGCACAGTTTCACTTTTCAAAAAAAAAAAAAAAAATTAACTTCTTCTTTTTTTTGCAGTTTTACCATAACATAGCAATCTCGTTAACAAATTTGGAGAATCCTCGGACGCAAACGGAATACGAGGATTCGTACACCTTCAAAATCTTCGTTTTCGAATTCATGAACTTCTACTCGTCCCTCATCTATATAGCGTTTTTTAAAGTGCGTATTTCAATTCATGAAAATGAATACATCTTATAAATCTTGAAATTGGTTCAAGGGACGTTTCTTCGATTATCCGGGAGATACGATCAGCAGATCTTCGGAATTCTTAAGAGTGAAGGGCGATGTTTGCGATCCTGCCGGATGCTTGAGCGAACTGTGCATTCAGCTGGCAATCATCATGATTGGAAAGCAGGTTTTCAATAACTTCTTGGAGCTCTTCAATCCGTTCTTTCAGAACTGGTGGAGATGGAGGTCGCATCGATCCAACACCAAAGATCTGACGAGGAGACACACGAGGTGGGAAGAGGATTACCATCTGCAGGATGCCGGGCGTTTGGCTCTTTTCGATGAATATTTAGAAATGAGTTAAGATTCTTATATATATTTTTTGTTGTAATTTTCATATTTTTTGTTGGTTTCCAGTTTTGCAGTACGGTTTCGTCACACTGTTCGTGGCCGCATTTCCTTTAGCTCCACTGTGCGCTCTACTCAATAACATCGCGGAGATCCGTCTGGACGCTTACAAGATGGTAACTCAAGCGCGAAGACCTCTCGCTGAACGTGTCGAAGATATTGGAGCCTGGTACGGAATCTTAAGGGTCATCACCTACGCAGCTGTTGTTTCCAATGTAAGTATTACATATTCTTCAAACAAACAACTTTTTTTTGTTGTTGTTGTTGTTTTGTTAAGGCTTTCGTGATCGCTTACACCAGCGACTTCATCCCGAGGATGGTCTACAAATACAAGTATTCCGATCACGAGGATCTCGTCGGATACATCGACGCTTCTCTCTCCGTCTTCAACACTTCGCACTACTTTGACGGGATGGGTGCGGATGATGACCTCGAGGATCCTCCACCGACTTGCCAGTATCGCGGCTACAGGAACGGCCCCGACGAGAAGGAACCGTACGGTCTGAGTCCACAATATTGGCACGTCTTCGCAGCTCGACTCGCTTTCGTCGTCATCTTCGAGCACATAGTCTTCGCCCTAACCGGTATCATGCAGTACGTCATCCCCGACGTCCCATCAGAGGTAAAAAGCAAAACATTAGGACCTAGAATAGAGACTTGCGGAACTTGAAAATTCATTCGTTTTGACAACCATTCATGACATTTTCGACAGTTGAGAACGCAGATCCAGAGGGAAACTCTTTTAGCCAAGGAGGCGAAGTACGAGCATGGATTGAAGAAAAACGATTACGACTACGAGGATTTGATGGCTGCGGCAAAGGAATCCAGTTACACGAACAACAGAAGCGAAAAACATCAAACCGGTAAAGAGATATTGGAAGGAACGAAGAAATGTTTTAAACGATGTGCACGTTCGGTTGCAGGTACGATGACGACGGTGAGGGGTTCCTGGGCTCGGAGATTGAGTAAACTCTCGGACGGTTTGGACGCGCACGTGGAGGTGGCGTCTAGGAAGAGGAACTCGGTGAATTCGACCGTGTGGGAGGTCACGTAGTAGTCAACATCGCATTCTGCAGATCATGTTTGTACATACATCCAAAGATATTTCTGTTCCCTCTTTGTATTTCCTCCTCCCTAACCATCAGTTATCTCTTTAACTGCGTCTTTACTGTTTCAACATAATCCGCACTTTGTTACGAACTTCGAAATAAATATTCACTTTATTCTTCTAATTATTGTATCTTTTTTTCGCTTTATTTACTTGCCCTTTCAACCTATTACCTATAATTGTAGCTTCAATTTGCATATTTAAGCAGCACACTTGAAATAATAACAAGTTATTCGAAACTCGTTCATATTTAATAGGAAATTACGCACTAAACCATAAATTGCGATTGTATTTATAAGTATGTATATTTAAAGTGTAAAAATATCAAAATTTGATGCTTGGATGAAAATCGCAGACGCCACTGCATTAAGCGTCTCCTCGTAACCAAGGAGATTCCTAAATTCATGCAGGTGTCTCCACCTGTCGGAAGGTTGCTATGGACATCAGGTGATTCCGAGAAGAAAACAAAAGAAAGATCCGGTGATCCCCGAAAGTGATGGTCGTGCGAAGAGTGGAAGAAACACGGAGGAGGCGGCGACCGCGTCGAAGGAGGTGTCATCGCGATCGCTCCAGACGTCACCAACATAGTAAACGAATGCGACAACAAACTGTTAGTTGTGGAATTGAATTGTTTGTCCACTAGACGGAACAATCCGCATCATTATACATTCAAATTTCTTACGGCCCCCCACAATCAAAAAGGAGCAGACGCGACGATGATTCGATCAAATCGAGTCGCGCCACCGTCAGAGCGTCGCGCATCGCAGCAGTAGCAGAGAAGAAGTTACGAAGAGTGCGGTGTTGTTGACAACTTACAAAACAAAACAACAACAATAATAATAAGGCGAGACGAGACAGCCACTCGCGGTTGCGTTCAAATCAAATCCGCACACGCTCAGTAGTTCTGAAAGGGGAAAGGGTGGTCCAACACGCCACCAGCAGAACCATCGATCCATATCTTCCTGCAACGTTCGTTTCTAGGTTATGTCCCCTGGGCAACGCACAGTAAATATCAACAAATAGCAAGTGATCAAACGGTGAGTGTCTGTTCATCATCTCATATCTCTCTATCGATAATACCGGTTCATTCCGAGCGGAAATACGAGTATCAATCGATATCGAAGCAAGCGCAACTAAAAACAATTGAAATAATTAATATAACGCTCGATCATTGTCCCCGGTGTTATTGTTTGAAACAATCGCTTGCTCCAACTCATTTGCATCGTCGTCGCCTTATTATAAATACGTACATAACTTCAAAAAACCGTACTTTCCTATTAAATCCGTCTCTCTCTCTCTCTCTCTATATATATATCTTTTTTTTTTCTTCTAATTTGTTATTGTAATATGTATCGCGTCGCCTTAAAGACAGGAAGTGCGCGCCTCGTCTCATGATGACCATCAAATGAGGAAGTGACCAATCACAATCTCTACATTGTCGGCTCTTTCCTCCCTTTTGTTTCCCAATTCACGGCGCCCGGTGTGAACGAACTACTGAATTTGCTAGAGACGTTATGTTATATATGGATTGAATTCCTCCAGTGTTCTCTCTACCGTGGATATGGACCAGGCGCTGTATTCTTCTTGACCTTGCGTTGCGTGCGCCATTGGTTCGCGCACCTCGCCAGATCCCCGAAGCCTTCAACCGATTGGTCCACGCTCGAACATGCCACTCTCTCATGGATCCTACTCACCCATTGATTGATCCCAGAACATCTGATCCTACTATTACTACTACGCCAGACATCTGGTCTGCCGAAAGCTTTGTTGCTCCTCGTACTTAGACTATTCCGCAAACGTGGGCGTTCATCCAGATGCCTAACAATTCGAAAAAAAAAAAATATGAACGTCGTCGGAAATATTTACACATTATCTAATCTTATCTCGCCAAGCTCATAATTACTCACTTAAAACGCTTGTAAATAAACTGTATGGAATCTCTGTTAACTAGTTTTTACATACCTGCAATCTCAAATTGATCTGCACAGCTAATTCCAAACACAACTATCAACAAAACACCAAATGACATCTTCAAATTTACAAATGAATTATTACCAACTTATTATTTCAAAAACATAACTTTCCCCATCATCAATTTCTTTATATTTTCATAATTTGTATATTTCTTGTCATAACTTCAAAAAATCAACGTTCCATTTAATAATTTTAATATAATTTATAACATTTGTAAACCTCCCAAACAACTACTTCAATCACTAACAACTTTAAACTGACAAATTGTTATTACCAACTTATCATTTTAAAAACAATATCTAATGTTCTCATTATTTCACTTTTGAAATACAAGATTTAGAAACTTTCTTACTACGTTTTATATTATAATGCATGAGTTTAATGTTTGAAGATGAAATGCAGAAAAATTGTTTGTTTGTATGTTTTTTTTTTTTAAATTTATCATATATCATTTGTTTATTGCTTAATGGCTTTCTTGATTTTTTTTCTTGAATCCCTGTATTAATGTTATGTCTATACGGATGATCGGAATTGCGACTTGAAATGATTGATGAAATAATTCCACGACTTACAAACGCAAGATTCATATTTATTTTTTCAACATCTTTGCAAAGTGTTGATATGATAGTTTAAAATAATATTTTAAAAACAATATCTAATGTTCTCATTATTTCACTTGTAAAATACAAGATTTAGAAACTTTCTTACTACGTTTTATATTATAATAATGCATGAGTTTAATGTTTGAAGATGAAATGCAGAAAAATTGTTTGTTTGTATGTTTTTTTTTTAATTTATCATATATCATTTGTTATTGCTTAATGGCTTTCTTGATTTTTTTCTTGAATTCCTGTATTAATGTTATGTCTATACGGATGATCGGAATTGCGACTTGAAATGATTGATGAAATAATTCCACGACTTACAAACGCAACATTAGTATTTATTTTTTGTGTTGATGATGGTTTAAAATTAATATTTCAAAATTTAAGACTTTACCAGTCATTTTTTTCACAATATATGAATACTCGCTACATTCCCCAAACATTCAGCTTTCATATGCATCCTATGGATTTATTCTATCTATTATAGTTTTCGAGAAAATCAATGAAATGTGAAAACACTGCTTTTTTCAACTTTAAACACGAATTACAGCCAAACCGATGAAACCACAACAA